GTCGATCCCCCTTCGTTTTTGTTTCCTACCGTTCTCATCCGCTTTGCAAACGCTCCGGAAAACATTTTTCCACCACCTCTCTCTCTCTCTCTCTCTCTCTCTCTCTCTCTCTCTCTCTCTCTCTCTCACTCTCTCTCTCTCCAAGCGACGACCCATCGGGCGTCAGTGGGGGGCGGTCACTTCGTAACGTTAGACAAACATTTGCCTATCCACACATGGGTCCGTCTGCCCGCCGGCCGACGCCCATGCCGTCATGGGCGCGGTGGCGAGCGGCACCGGTGGCGTCGGGGCGGGGCGGGGCGGGGCGGGGTGGTTAGAGGGTAGCACTAACAGCCCCCAGCGGACGCGCGCGGGGGGTGACCCCGCAATGGCGAGGTGGAACAACTTCAGACCGTAAACGGAACAGTTATCATCCCGAAGTCGGTAAGGGGTGGGAAAGCGGGGGGAGGCTACTGCTGCTGGCTACGGACCGGAACTGGTAAGTGTGTGTGTGTGCGTGTGTGTGTGTGTGTGTGTCTTGCGGTGCCCACACCTGAGGGGTGCCCGGTCCCCCCTGCGGGCCCCCAGAGTGCGGCCCGAGTCCGCTAAATTGCCAGCGCTATACTGCTGTTGTTGCCACTGTGTGTGAGCCACACACTTCTCAACAAGTCACACACTGAATGGGAGCGGAAAACTTTGTCGGACGAAAAGGCGATGCATTCTAGGTACGTCATCATTTCGCTTTAGGAAAATTGCAAATTACGAGGGGGCAATAACTCCCTTTTGAAGTGTACACGTGATTCCCGAAATTCTTGATTCCCGGTGATTCCCGTCCGCTTATAATTATTACAAAGGTTTTTCGGGGGGTTTTAGTGGTATAAAACGCTTATTTCGACTGATTTGTACTTTTTTCTCAAGTTTCCCGCTTATTCTAAGCGATTTCTATTGATTTTGATCAATTTTTATCCTGATGATTCCCAGACAGGTGTACACACGATTCCCGGAGTTATTGCCCCCTCGGCAAATTATATATTTCTTTTCATCCAAGAACAATTTGAACCAGCCCGGGGATGCAAATCGGCCCAAGCCAGGCAGCAAAGCAAACAAATTTGCTGTGCAAAGTAGTAATACTATTACCTTTTGGTAATAAAGCCGAATAAAGCAATCAATTTTGTAATTTTTCTAAGCTTATTTTGGCATGCTAAAACGCCACACCGTTGTGGTTCTTTTTCGCACATAGTTTCGACGAGTCCTGCATTAGTGGGCAGAAGGGCGAGTACCATGACATCAACACAGGGCCGCGCGCCGCCCGGCCAACCGCACGCCAGGCCGAGTAAAAACGGACGACTTTATCGTTGAACTTCCCGGCGATAATTAAATTTTCGCGCGCGTTCCCGCTGCTGCGCGCATGCATATTTGATTCTGCGCGCGCGCGCGCGCGAGTACTTGTAGTCATGAGCGCGCGCACCCCACTCCCTCTGCCCCCTCCCACCGCCCCGCGCGGACGACATCTCTGGATTAGGGTTTATCTCTGTCGCAGGAAGCAAACCTTTGATGTGCCCCGGCCGGCGGCACATCACCCCTTCCGCACCGGGCGCCGTGGCGGGGCG